TTCATTTTTTTCCTAATTTTTAAAAATGAGTAAAGTCAAATTTGAACATGGGCATGATCATTCATGAGTCTATAAGAAACTTCAAATGTCTCTGTTTAGAAAGTTACTGTGAAAGTGCATTAATACTAGAGACCAGAACAAGGAGGTATCATTACTAACGGTCTCACAGCTAGTTCTAGTCATGTGTTTTCTGTTGGGAGAAAATTCTGCAATTCTTTTGCCCCAATTATAGCTCATTTGGTTACTTTTCTCATTCTAGAATATTATAAAATATTTTGCTTTTAATCAGTTTTAAGTCACATTCCTTCTTCCAATATTTCTGAGGCTTTCAAGAAGATCTCAGTAGAACTTTCTACCTCCCATTTCCCTTCAGTGTGTTACATACTTAAATGATTTTGATTCAGGTGTATAATTTTATTATAATGATCCTTGGTGGTGTAACACTGAGTAGAAATAACGTGTCCAAGAACTAAAAATATTCCAGCTCAGTTATTCATTCACTCAGCTTCCTGAGCAAAATGTCATAACAGCAATACAATTGGAAATATCTCTTTTGTTAGGATTAACATAGTTGTGTGAGACACAGAACAAAGCATATACATTTATTTTAAATAAAGAAAACTTTCTTACTCGGTGTAGTATCTATTAGGAGAAAATGTTTATACTATTTTTTCTGAATATTGCCAATAGTAGAATAATGTGGGGAAAACCCCTAAATTTTAAATAAATATAAATCACTATAACACTTCACTCTTCTGAGATGCAAAACACATTTTGCCTTATTATTCATACATTATTTTATTGTTATAAGTGTATATGTTCAAGAGTTTGCATACTTTTCTTCTTCTAAATAACAATACATTTATGGTTAGAAATATGTTGTTGATTTTTCCAACTCTTTTTTATTATTATAGCTTAAGTTCTGGGATATGTGTGCAGAATGTGCAGGTTTGTTACATAGGTATACATGTGCCATGGTGGTTTGCTGCACCCATCAACCCGTCATCTACATTAGGTATTTCTCCTAATGCAATCCCTTCCCTAGCCCCCGACCCCCCGACAGGCCCCGGTGTGTGATGTTCCCCTCCCTGTGTCCGTGTGTTCTCATTGTTCAGCTCCCACTTATGAGTGAGGACATGGGGTGTTTGGTTTTCTGTTCCTGTGTTAATTTGCTGAGAATGATGGTTTCCAGCTTCAGCCATGTTTGTGCAAAGGACATGAACTTGTCATTTTTTATGGCTGCATAGTGTGGTGTATATGTGCCACATTTTCTTTATCTAGTCTATCATTGGTGGGCATTTGAGTTAGTTCCAAGTCTTTGCTATTGTGAATAGTGCTGCAATAAACACACATGTGCATGTGTCTTTTTTCTTTTTGAGACAGAGTCTCGCTCTGTCGCCCACGCTGGGGTGCAGTGACACAATCTCGGCTCACTGCAAGCTCCCCCTCCTGGGTTCACGCCATTCTCCCGCCTCAGCCTCCTGAGTAGCTGGGACTACAGGCACCCACCACTATGCCCGGCTAATTTTGTTTTTGTTTTTGTATTTTTTGTAGAGATGGGATTTCACCATGTTAGCCAGATGGTCTCGATCTCCTGATCTCATGATCTGCCCGCCTCAGCCTCCCAAAGTGCTGGGATTACAGGCATGAGCCACTGCACCCAGCCATGCATGTGTCTTTATAGTAGAATGATTTAAAATCCTTTGGGTATATGCCCAGTAATGGGATTGTGGGTCAAATGGTATTTCTGGTTCTAGATCCTTGAGGAATTGCCACACTGTCTTCCACAATGGTTGAACTAATTTACATTCCCACCAACAGTGTAAAAGTGTTCCTGTTTCTCCACATCCTCTCCAGCATCTGTTGTTTCGTAACTTTTTGTGATTGCCATTCTAACTGGCGTGAGATGGTATCTCATTGTGGTTTTGATTGCATTTCTCTAATGACTAGTGATCATGAGCTTTTTTTCATATGTTTGTTGTCTGCATACATGTATTCTTTTGAGAAGTGTCTGTTCATATCCTTCATCCACTATTTAATGGGGTTATTTTTTTCTTTTAAATTTGTCTAAGTTCTTTGTAGATTCTGGATATTAACTCTTTGTCAGATGGATAGATTGCAGAACTTTTCTCCCATTCTGTATGTTGCCTGTTCACTCTGAGGATAGTTTCTTTTGCTGCATGGAAGCTCTTTAGTTTAATTAGGTCCCATTTGTCTATTTTGACTTTTGTTGCCATTGCTTTTGGTGTTTTAGCGATGAAGTCTTTGCCCATGCCTCTGTCCTGAATGGTATTGCCTAGGTTTTCTTCTAGGATTTTTATGATTTTAGGTCTTACGTTTAAGTCTTTAATCCATCTTGAGTTAATTTTTGTATAAGGTATAAGGAAGGGGTCCAGTTTCATTTTTCTGCATATGGCTAGCCAGTTTTCCCAGCATCGTTTATTAAATAGGGAATCCTTTCCCCATTGCTTGTTTTTGTCAGGTTTGTCAAAGATTAGATGGTTGTAGATGTGTGGCATTATTTCTGAGGCCTCTGTTCTGTTCCATTGGTCTATATATCTGTTTTGGTACCAGTACCTTGCTGTTCTGGTTACTGTAGCCTTGTAGTATAGTTTGAAGTCAGGTAGCATGATGCCTCCAGCTTTGTTTTTTTTTTTTTTTTTTTTTTTGGCCTAGGATTGTCTTGGCTATACAGACTCTTTTTTGGTTCCATATAAAATTTAAATTAGTTTTTTGTAATTCTGTGAAGAAAGACAATGGTAGCTTGATGGGGATAGCATTGAATCTATAAATTACTTTGGGCAGTATGGCCATTTTCTCGATATTGATTCTTCCTATCCATGAGCATGGAATGTTTTTCCATTTGTTTGTGTTCTCTCTGATTTCCTTGAGCACTGGTTTGTAGTTATCCTTGAGGAGGTATTTCACATCCCTTGTAAGTTGTATTCCTAGGTATTTTATTCTCTTTGTAGCAATTGTGAATGGGAATTCACTCATGATTTGGCTCTCTGTTTGTCTATTATTGGTGTATAGGAATGCTTGTAATTTTTGCATATTGATTTTGCATGCTGAGATTTTGCTGAAGTTGCTTATCAGCTTAAGGAGATTTTGGACTGAGACGATGGGGTTTTCCAAATATACAGTCATGTCATCTGCAAACAGAGACAATGTGACTTTCTCTCTTTCTATTTGAATTCCTTTATTTCTTTCTCTTGCCTGATTGCCCTGGCCAGAACTTCCAATACTATATTGAATAGGAGTAGTGAGAGTCTTGTTCTGGTTTTCAAAGGGAATGCTTCCAGCTTTTGCCCATTCAGTATGATATTGGCTGTGGGTTTGTCATAAATAGCTCTTACTATTTTGAGATACATTCCATCAATACCTAGTTTATTGAGAGTTTTTAGCATGAAGTGATGTTGAATTTTATCAAAGACCTTTTCTGCATCTATTGAGATAATCATGTGTATTTTGTGATTGGTTCTGTTTATATGATAGATTACGTTTATTGATTTGTGTATGTTGAACCAGCCTTGCATCCCGGGGATGAAGCGAACTTGGTCGTGGTGGATAAGCTTTTTGATGTGCTGCTCTATTTGGTTTGCCAGTATTTTATTGAGGATTTTTGCATCGATGTTCATCAGGGATAATGGCCTGAAATTTTCTTTTTTTGTTGTGTCTCTGCTGGGTTTTGGTATCAGGATGATGCTGGCCTCATAAAATGAATTATGGAGGAGTCCCACTTTTTCTGTTGTTTGGAATAGTTTCAGAAGGAATGGTACCAGCTCCTCTTTAATCACATTAAGAAAACATTTTGAAACCCATGTTTTAAAGCAAATTTCGTTTGTGTTTTGATTCTTGATTTGTCATAAGGAGATAAGAATTCCAAATTTAAAAAAGAAAACTTCTGAAATTTAGTGCAGTGTGCATGCCTGGAGAAATGAATGCTATAGCTTTAAGATAAGGTAGTCTGGTGATTCATTGCACGAAACAAGATCGATTTGGAGCAGGCTCCTACTGTTAGCTTTTTTGAAGATGGATTCTCACGCCGAAAATAACACAACATATTCTAGATAACAGCAGTTTTTCCCCCCTGAAATCCACCAAAACTGAAGAAAAATCCAAGTGACTGTTCTTAGCAGCTGTGTGGCCTGGAGTTCACTGGGGAAGCTGGCTTCCTGCCGTCCCCTATTCATCACCTGCTTCAAAGACAGCCTGGCTGGCTATAGTTTGCAGGCCAGGTAGGGTGCCATTGTGCACAGTCTGGGAGGATTAGTATCAAAGCTGCGGCAACCAGGCCCTTGGTCTCGGGCTGCCATTCAGTCTAGCAGGGAGAGGCTAAGACTGGCCAAGGTCACAGTCTCCAGTGTGGAGTGGACTGGGAAAGGATCCTGAGAATAGAATGCTCTTTATGAAATCATGGCGCAAGCTTGCAGCACAGCAGGTGCCCTTCTGGAACACATAACATCTGTTTATGTTGGTATACCGTAGCTGACAACGAGATAATGGAGCTTTGAAATTTATCATTTTATTTTTTAAAAGACAACTGTATATACAAGAATCCAGATGCGTATTTAGCTCCGATCTTTTATTTGTAAATCATGAAGAAAGCTGATCGATTTAATTGCTGCTTTTTACATGTGTATATTTAAGCAAAAAGCAAAGCGTACTGACTATTAACCATTTATAACCATTGCTGATCAGTAATACCCGAATTCTTGGGGAGGAAGTGACTAGCATTCGAGATAATTTTTTTCAATGTTCAGACATTTGTGTCAACAGATTGCAGAAGGATTTACTGAATATGTCCAACTATTTTGAATATTAGGAGGTTTGTATAACCACCACCCCAACAAATGAGAGTATTTCAAGGGTGAGGTAATAATGATGCAAAAATAAAAATTTTCAACTTGGACAAATTAGAGAAAAATTAAGCTGTACATGAGTTGTCATGACGACAAGGATGTTCTGTTGATGAACTGTCCTCCTCATTGTCCAATCAGATAGTAGAGCTGAAGCTGGAGCATGAACAGGAGAAGACGCACCTATTACAGCAGCATAACGCAGAGAAGGATAGCCTAGTCCGAGACCATGAACGGGAAATTGAAAACCTGGAAAAACAGCTTCGCGCTGCCAATATGGAGCACGAAGATCAAATTCAGGAGTTCAAGAAACGAGATGCACAGGTAATTATCAATAATATTTGATGAAACGGGTATCTGTTTTTAAAAAGTCATCAGCGTTTAATGTTTTCTTCTTATTCTTGTTGATGCACGCTGTTTGATCATTTGCAAAACTGACATATAAATGTGATTTTTTTTTTGTTTTCCTCCCCCCCACCCCCCCGTTTTGGGATGAATAAAGCCTTAACTACAGAAACCACAGGTAGCCAGATTAAAAATCCCATGGCGCGCTATAACTTGGCCCCCTTTTTTATAATCTTGTCTCAGTTCCTTTCATGATGGATTTTTTTAAGGTATCTGCCCCTTACCCCTCCCTTCAGCCTTAGCAAATCCCTATGAAATATATCAGCCTCACTCCTTGCTTTTTGTTTTAATCTCTGTAGGTAATCAAACAGCTGTTTTAATATTTGCTTTTCCTTCCTAGTGTTGCTGTTTTCATTAGACTATATTTGATTAGATCACTCAGATGGTAATTGATAAAAATGACTCCAGAAAAGGGCTATTTCCCATCAGGTCTGTTGCTTTTTCCTGCACACACACACGCCTACTAGCCCACATCTCTGTAGTCCCTGTTGGAAGCCATTTGGCAGAATAACCCCCAGCTGTGGTAGCATTTGACTCCTCAAACTTGTGGATGAAATGTGCACTGTCAGCATGGAAAATTATCTTTATAAATTTCAGATGAAAAAAGAAATCTTACTGGATGTGTATCTTTGTGATACAATACATTCTTTAGAATATATATAATCAAGGGCCTTTAGTGTATCCTCTTGAGATTGCTGTGAAATTGTATTAAAGAAAAATTTAAGAGCAATTGATAACAATAAAAAGATAATGTTCTTTTCTAATAGAAACATATTGTATACTAGGTCTAAATACCCCTTTTCCCATTGAAATCTAACCATGCTAACCATACCACACAAGCTTCTTCCTCTAGTTATCCTTCCTCCCCAAATAATATAATTTTCAAACAAAACAAACCTTCTGTTATATTATGTCTTTCAACAATTTTATAATTATCTAAACATAAACACACTACTAATTAAGTAAGATGTTAATTTTTTTGAGTGGACAGCGGGAGGTGGTAAGGCAAAGAATAGGAGTTATTGGTTATTTTTCACTTGACCTTGAGTTGTCTTCTATCTTCAGAGAATAACTGATGCAATATGAATATACTCAGCACAGGTTTTGCTGTCAATGATATACATTTACAGTACAATCGTTTTCAACTTGTTTTACGGTGGTTTGCTACCTAAAAAGGTAGTCATTGTAGTGCCCATGGTACCAGAATACTCAGGTGGTTCTTGTTAAATCATCGTGTATTATATTTTGCCACCAACCTCATTAGAGCCTTTATGAAATATATGTCAAAATTGGTGTTTTGACTCAATTTATTAGGAATATTTTCTAGTTCATATTCTCTTTCAAATATGATGTTAAACCTTACCATTGTTTTCCCATGGCAAGAGATATGGGTTCTGAGTCAGTGTAGGATTTGTTTGCGTGGTATAATTGTATAATGGATAAAATAAAATACACTAATTTACATAACTTCCTATTATTTGGGGGCTGTTATGGGAAGCCGATACAAGTGGAGGCCAAATTTAGAGGGAACCTTTGTGATTTTGCATGAGTCGTATCTGCCATATAGGGTGCGGTTCATCCAATCATAACAAAAGGGAAATTTTAGTACTATTACGTATAATAAAGCCACAGGGATAGTACAATGAGGCTATTAATTGAATTTCTTCCTATTGAAACATTAAGTATGAGGACTATATGACCTCCTCAAATGCTGTAGTTTAAGATTATATTTCTCATATTTTGTGTCTTTCTTGGAACGTTTTACTAATTGGAATTGCTGTCAAGGGAATGCCAGTAAGCAATGGAAACAGGCTAAATGCATTCTTGCTCAAAAGGAAAATAATTTTGTGTATGTTGTACTTAGTTGTTCTTAGAGAATACAATTTCTAAAACTTTTAGCAATGAGCTATATTTTAAAAAATCTTATGTGTACCAAAATACTCATAATTTGTATTTATCTTTGGTTCTTTATTGAGGATATTAATTCAAAGTTTCCTTCAGGTAAGTCTTAAATTTTCAAAATCTATCTCTTCATGGCTGTGGTCTAAATAATGTAATGTATAATACCTTTTAAGTTCTAAATTCATTCACAAATTTCAAGAAAACAAAGTAGGCATATAATTTTCAAAATAGAAGATCTTTTTCAAATCACTGTTGTAGTTTGATGCAGAACAGACATATTAAATATTAGATTGTATAATTTTTTAAATTTTAATTCCAGAGAGATTTGATTTTCAGTTAATGTGTGGCTATTCTAGCTTAGCAATGGAGGCCATTTTGTAAAAAGGACTATTTGAAATACTTAACCAAAAGAGGACCAGTGAAATATCTATTTTGAAATCTATAACTTTGTTTGCTGCTTCCCTTCCACCAGATTCTTAACTGAGTACAGTTTCCTTAAAATCTATTTTTGACTTCTTCCAAATATGTAGTAGATTGTATGCTGATTAGAAAATCATTATTATAAAGTATAGTTACCAACCTTAAGGTGAATCATTCCAACTAGGGACTCCCTTTTGGTGAATATGTTTTATAATTATTATAGGTTAATTGTTATTCTAATAATTTCTGTTTTAAAGGGCCATGGTAAGATATAGAAATGCACCAAGGACAATGAACTAGTCTAGTCTCCTCATTTTATTTGGTTCAGTTAGCTAATTATTTTATGTGTATATCATATTTTTGTTATAGTACTTTGATTTTCAATGGCAGGATATATTATATTATGATACTTAAATTTGCTAATGTGCCTACTAAATTTTACCACCATCGTACAAGATGTTCAATCTGGTATCTATCTAAGGTCATATGTTTAAGAAAAAGCATTCAGACCAGTAGAAATCCAGACTTGTAGAAATTCATAACCTCACTGTCAAACATTTCTCATTTACCAGGTCTCTCTTATTGAAATTAGTTTGGAGAATGATCTCATTGATTCAATCATATTTTAATATGAAGAAAATTTATAAATATAATAGCTTCTTCTAACATGAAAGTTCTACATGTAATTCCCATTTTGCTTTTGAACTATAATATAATGAAAGAATTTCTATAGTGTATCCTGTTGAATTAGAGGAAAAATAGAGCATAGGTTCCTTGATCCCTTACTTGTCCTTTTAGGGCCCTGAACCATTTAGAGATTGTTTGATGTTTTACGTTTGTTGCCACAGTAAGTGGTGTGTGTGACTCCTATAGAGATTGTTGCATAGAACCTTTGTGATCCTCCCCAGAGGTGGTGTTGCCATCTTAGGACCGCTATGTGACTTGTTGCTGTAGGGACATTCAGGCATCTGGGGTAACCAGCAACCATTGTGCATCACCATCAGTATCATGCACATTAAATGCAGCAACCTTGCAGAAGGTCATCAGCCATATCTGAGAAATATATTGAATTTAGCATTTGCATATAGTACAGTGGCTCTTGCAAAACATTGGCATCTAAATGCCTTTCTCAATTCCCTACACTGAGAATCATAAATCTAATATGAACAATTTTTACATAATAAATGGGCAGATTATCTTGATTTTGGCATATGATTCACATTAAGAGCTGAACCTATCACTGATTCCAAAATGCAGAATTTGTAGTAATTATCTTCTACTTGGAAAAAAGTTTTCCTAGAAAGATATTGACAGGACAATTTTAATTTTAAAAATCGTATCTCAATTGCATTACCTGATTTTCCATGCATTTGCAAATTTGGGCCTAAGATAAAAATCTCCATTTATAAACTGAGTGTGTGCCTGCATTCAGGGGCTTGAACACTGGCTATCATCTTTAAAGATTACTTGAAGGTGAATGTAACAATATGTACAGTCTGAACATTCTCGTTATACATGGCTTTTGGTCTTTGGTAGCATTTTTCTGGTGAAAACATTTCAATTTTTTTTATATGCCAGCTACTGTCAAAAGGATCTAAAGCAGCATTTTATAATAAACATACACTTAAAATAAATGAAAATAAGAATTCAGCAATAAATTATATTAACCACATTAGAAAATCTATACTGAAGAAAAAATATTACAGTTAAGTGGAAATTTTAGCTCTGCACTTGCCTGGAAGCCACCGCAAAGAGGGTAACATGGTGAATTGTATAATTCTAATTACGTAATGAAAAAAATCATAGTGGTTCTTTTTTTTCTAGTTCTCAGTTCTGAGAAAAATTTATGCCATTAGACTTAATTTAAAGGACATTGACCAATATAACTGATGATATTTTCCATATGTTAAAACGTTGGGAAGAAAATCTGGTGGGGAAACTTTAGATTCTTTAGTACTTTCATAAAATGTAATTACCAGATTTTATTTTAATGTGCCAAAATTTCATTTTAATTTATTGAGAATATTATTATTCTCAAATCAAAAAACAAAGTGCTTTAAGAAATACAATTTTGTAGATACTATGAATCATAAGAAAGTATATTTTAAGTCACAGCCTAGCAAATTCTAGTGTAGTTGTTTTACTACTGTGCCAGGGATGCTTACAAAGTGTCTTTAGGAAGTGGAAATGACAAACATAGTTGAGATTAGAAATTATTTAGGAGTTAATGCCTAATATTAATTTCCAAGTGTGTTACTATCTCTTTCTTATATCTTATTTTCTTGTTCTCTGAATTTATTATGAAAAACTATAAAAAGAGATTATAAAATCAAATGGTAATTCATTCCAAGAGTAAAAGATACTTACACCTGTATTAAAATGATTCATATCCTACCTGCATAACCAAAATAGTACTTCATCTCTGATATTTTATTCATTAATGACATTTGCTTGGTCCTGAGGTAGTATATATTTTTGTTTCTTTGGATCAAACTGGAGTGATTGCTTGGAAAAACCAAGCTATGTAAACTCTGTTTTTCCCCCAGCCTAATGAGGCTGTTGCTGTTAATGTAACCCTGTTTTTTGTTCCCCTCATC